TGCCGTTGCTACTGAACAACGCAAGGATCAATGGATTGCCTCACTGATAGACTTGCTGACTGATACATCCACTACATCCACTCGCGCGTTGCGTCGTCAAGCCCACCATTTCTCCGTTCGCGACGACCTTCTCCACCGACGCAATTACAGCGGTGACGGCCGCCAGTGGCTACTATGTCATACCCCGCAGTCTGTGCTCTGACATATGCGAATTCTTTCATACTGATCCGCAATGTGCGCACTCCGGCGTATCGAAGACTTACAAGCGCATTCGCGAACGGTAGTTTTGGCGCGGCATGTACCGCTATGTGCAGAAATTCGTTCGCTCCTGCATAGAATGTCAGCGCCGCAAAACTTCAACGCAACTGTCGCCGGTAGGTCTGCAACCTCTACCTTACCTTGCCAGGCCGTTTGGGCGCGTTGGCATCGATTTGTATGGGCCACTTCTACTAACGTCGGCCGGTAACCGCTGGGCCATTGTTGCTGTAGGACCACCTCACGCGATACGCCGAAACTGCCGCTCTCCCCGCGGCTACAGCGAGCGATGTGGCCTCCTTCCTGCTCCAACGATTCATGCTGCGACACGGTCCACCTCAGGAACTGCTCAGTGATCGAGGCCGCGTCTTCCTGTCTGAAGTCGTCGAAGCCATTCTCAAAGAGTGCAACGTTGTTCACCGCAAAACTGCCGCTTACCACCCGCAGACGAATGGCCTCACTGAACGCTTCAACCGTACGCTCGGCGACATGCTCTCCAAGTACGTCGCCGCCGATCACACAAATTGGGATTCCATTCTACCCTTCGTCACCTACGCATATAACACCGCCCCTCAGAGCACTACTGGCTTTTCACCTTTCTTTTTATTATATGGAAGGCACCCGTCGCACACCATCGACACTATACTTCCGTACAAGCCAGATCCGTCAGAGTGGGCGCCTATTTCTGCTACAGCCAAGCTTGCTGAAGAGTGTCGAGAGCTTGCAAGGACCTTTACAGCGCATGATCAAGAGCGGCAAAAAGGCATTCGCGCTGACACCAGCACTACTGCGCCCATGTTCCTCCCTGGAGCGCTCGTCTGGCTCTCGATCCCTACCACTTCAACTGGCCTATCTTCAAAACTATTACCCAAATACGAAGGCCCCTACCGTGTCGTCGAACGCACTTCCCCTGTAAATTACTTGATCGAACCCATCGAACCATCTTCGGATATGCGCCGTCGAGGGCGCGACATTGTCAACGTGGAGCGCCTCAAAGCCTACAACGACCCGGTCATAGTAACCAGCTGCTAGATTGCCAGGCGGCTCCCTCTTCGTACCCGGGGTAGTTGTGGTGAAGCCTTCGAACATTGGGTCGTCCTCTCCAGCGCCTTCTAGTGGGTTGCCCTTTTTAGCAAGAGGAAGAGCAGCTCGTGCAGAGAGTCGGTACCCGCATTGACTGCCGCTGTCAAGCATCGTCGACAAGTGTCCGCCAATAAACGTCTCAACAATTTATATATATATATATATATATATATATATATATATATATATATATATATATATATATATATATATAGAAAGTGGTTGTAGCGTTGCACATAGTCAAGTAGATCCTCCGTGACAACGGTAACAACGGAAGCGTTTATTTCGACAGCTTCGACCAGAGTCTGGCCTTCGTCAGGAATGAGGGTACATTCTGTTCGCGCTCGCATTTATATTATGCGATAATTGTGAGCGCGAACAGAATGTACCCTGATATATTTATGGCGCGCGAAGTCTCGCCGAAGACCATTTCTCGCCAAGGATCAACAGGGAAGGAAGAACGTCATCGCTTCAATACTCAAGGCAGGCGCCACTTTGTGCAGCAATGTGTCGCCTCAGGGTTAAGAGCGTTTGTGTGCTCTCTCGTGTGGTTTGTGTGTGAACGGGCACTAGTTTACTTGATCGTGTGTGTGGGCAGCTAGACTCATATTTTCTGTGCTTGAGTACGGTTCCTAATGGGTGCACGTTTGTAACAGATAGTGCTTTTTTAGCAGGCATGATGCCACGAAGCTCTTGTGTGGCGCTGTGCACGTCAATCGCGAGAATAAACTTTAGCTTGCAGTACCACGGACAACCAATTGTTCGCAATAAAACAGTTCTTTTCACTTCAGGTCAGTCAAACCAGCAGCAGTTATATATAATATTCAGGCCCTTTCTTCAGAAGATTGTCCCGCGACAGAAAAAAAAAGTCACATGCTGCGTAACAGGCACTTTTGAAAGCGACTGAAGTATCTAACTGAAGTGTGTGAATACAAAAGTCACTATTTACGGCCTTATAGGAGCCACTGGCGCGCGTACGTGTGAAAACACTTCTGGGACGAGGTTTGGCCCCAGAGCGGGCATGAGGTGAATGAACTGTGCCCGGGACGCCGCTTCGGTGGCAGGCAACAGGCCGATATGTATTTTTTATCCAGTGGCCATGACACCACCAAACTGTGCGTGCCCTCATGAGGTCGTCGTCTTTTTTGCGTCAGTGCACTTTCGCGTTTTGCAAAACGCGCCCTGGCTGCACTCATGCACTTTACGAAATGCACATACCCTCACCACAGAGACACGCGAATATAAGACATCGAGGCATCTGTAAGCAATGCTGGACAGGAGTATTTGCATTGGAGTTATAGCAAAAAAAATCGAGGTAATTTCACACAAGTGAAGGCAACCCTGTCGGAAGTGCGGAGCTAGGCAGCCTTATTTTTTCCTCCCCGATTTTCTTTCAGTACGAAAGCTGTATACGGCTAGGGGAAATAGAAAACCATTCGAGACCAGTGTCGCGAGGCGTCTCCATTGGCTGTGCTATCAGTTACGTCGTTTTCAGCGTCGTACTCAAGCGCGCGGGCCATCGGCTATGCTGTGAGTGACGTCATTCATCCTGTCGCAGCCGTAGTACCATAGTCGCCGTGCCAAGCACACGTGCATTAGTTTCTACTGAAAACTTTCGCATGCATAAGCCACGAGGAACTGCAGAAGCGTGCCAGAATTGAAAATGTGACGGCTCGCTTGATACAAAAACAGGCCCTGGAGGGCGAGTAGCGGCAGCAACTACGTACCGATGATCCAGCAGCTTACAAGCCATGCCAACTGCGTACAGACTTATCAGAAAGTACTGGTAATATGCACATATTTTCCCAATAGATTACTCTTTTGTTGTAACAACACCTATACAGTTGTCTTTTTCATTCTAAGCTTTTCTATGGAGTTCGGATGGGGAAGAACTACTAAAACTGAATATAAGAGACTTTTGCTATTACAGAATAGAGTTCTCCTCCTGTACTCCAATTACCAAGAAAGTTATGCAAAAAAGGACAACACCTCTATTCGGAAAATATATTACGCTTCATGATCATCAAGTATTGTACATTAAAATTTTGCAAATGATATACAGAAAAAATTGTACGAGCACAACAGAAGGGCAGGACGACAGACTTATCCCACCCGCCAAAGCTTACGCCGTCTGCAATGAAAAGGAACAAATTATGGCAAACGAACGTTGAGGTATCAAACGACCGATAAATAAACAAATTTGAACACATGCCTAATTTTCATTGCACGGAAACGTCCTTCAAGCTGCAAGAAAAAAGGGCTCACGCAGGAAAATCCATGGCTTGATTGATAAGAAAAAGTTACTGATGTAAGCAATGGTAATCGGCCAGCAATAGAAATTTCTACTAAATGTGTTATACTAACTACAATGTTATTCATCACATGTCCCCATTGTTCTAGACTAATCTTTTTCTTGAGTGGTCAATAATTTTGTTAGGTACGAGGCGTTCTGTATAGTCAAAGGCACATTCAATGTAACATGAAAAGTTTTACGTGACCTATTTTCTTTATTGCTTCTTTTGTTCACGATCGTCTGGATACCGAGAACGCTGTTGTTTCTGTGTTGTTTTTTTAAATCAAGGTTGAATAATATACAAATACCTGTGCTGTACGAGTTATGCACAAGGGTTTTTGGCTCTCTGTCAGGCTATATGCCTTTAGCCTAGCGTCTTTTTGTTTCTTGGACAAAAACAATAAAAATTTTTATGAAATAGAAATTGAATCGAAATTGAATTCGCTAATCTGGATGAAATTGCTGGTGGTGGGTACACATTGCAAAGCCCGCCGCCGGGTCAGCTCGCGATGCAGAATGCTTGCAACAACGCAGTGGCGTTGCGAGCACAACGTCAACGTGCTGATTGCGAGATCGTGTTCGCCGGACAAACGCCCGATTTTCCTGGCAGTTTGTCTAACGGCACTTCTTTGGCTGCCACGTCTGTGACCGCCTGTCTTTTATTATCTATTTATTTAACATTATTGCCAACGTCATTAGAGAATACAGCAGAGAGGGCATATGAAAGCGAGTATTTGTTTACACAAACCCATAATGATGGAAAACACAAGAAAAATCCAGAAAACAAAATGGCATAAAAATTAAGGAATATACATTGGCATTATAAAAACACACTGTCAAACAATTGTAGTAAAAGCAAAATCATGAACTCGGTTACCGGTAAAAACTACTGCAAAAAGATAATTCATGCATTTATAATATGGGGTAGGGTCAACAATTAGGCATCATTATTGAACAACTTATTCAAACAGCCATTGTGATTAACGCGCTCAGAAACGCATTAGACCTGTCATTACAGTGCTCAATGACTGCGTGCACGCGAGGTATTGGGTACATGAGGATTTTGTAGATAACTGCCTAACGAATTTTCTGGGCATACTGCGTACCTTATGGATATAGCTGCGAAAACTCACTTTGCAAGAGATGAGTATTCTTACGAGTTTACTTATCTTTAAGCAAAAGCAATTTACAGAAGGCGAGGTCGGCAACCATGCAGACAATGTAGGCAGCCTCTGAAGACACGAAGAGAATGCAGACAGCCATGGTAAAAGAACAAGTGATCTTGAACTGCTCTTCAGACAATCACTGCGAATATGCAGTAAAATGTCAACCTATTTCACCATAATGGAAAAAAATCGAAAGCACTCACTGCATACGCATATGCATTGGCCGCCATCGGGGTTCTTATAACAGGTTAACTCGGAACCGTCGTTTTTGCAAACATTCCAGTCAACATCAACCTCGTCTGGGTGGCAGTGCGCATCGCCTGTGGTGACGTGAAAGGAAAGCAAAGGATAATTCACCATAAATCATTCGACAAATATCACAAATATCGGTACACTGGTGTCTGTTTTAACTATCTATGCTCCCTATAAAAGAACGTCTATTAATTACTCTTTCAATATTTAAAGCTGTTATGAGAGCAGAACAAGGGTCGTTTTCGGTGCCGTAGTTGTCCAGTGCCTCTGGTGTGCGTACCTAATTTCGTAAAAATTGAGAAAACAAAAACGAAATAAAAATACCGAGAGGAAACTAGGATTCGAACTCTGGCCCCACGCATGCCAACCTAGCATCCTACTAGTGAGCTACGCTGGTGCTTCAAACTCTGTTTGAAGCTGACTATAGGCAGGCTTCATGTTGGGTAAAGAATTGCGTTTTTATATGTGTAAAGAAGCATTTGGGACCGAAGAAGGAACAGCCAGGCGTCACACAATGCGAATCGCATAACGAGTCGGTCGTCGAATGCTTCAACTCTTTACAAAAACTTCTAGCATACTTCTATATTGTGGTCAGCCACAACATAGATATCAGTCACCTAATTACTCATATCCAGCTTTTCTGTACACGAGCTGGTTTAGTTCGTCTAAACGACACCAGGTGGCGCATCGACCTTAATTCAAAAGTACCACAATTACGTATGCAGTGACATAGCACTGAAAAAAAATATAATCAAAAGAAACGATGCACACACCCGGAAACGTTCACTTCACCTCAGTGGGTTGCCGTGCCGCGGTGGCCGAGTGGCTAAGGTACTCGGCCACTGACCAGCAGGTCGCGGGATCGAATCCCGGCTGCGGCGGCTGCATTTCCGATGGAGGTGGAAATGTTGTAGGCCCGTGTTATCAAATTTGGGTGCACGTTAAAGAACCCCAGGTGGTCCAAAATTCCGGAGCCATCCACTACGGCGTCTCTCGTAACCATATGGTGGTTTTAGGACGTTAAAAACCCCACATATCAATCAATCAATCAATCAATCAATCAATCAATCAATCAATCAATCAATCAATCAATCAATCAATCAATCAACCAAAACCTAAGGGCGCAGATAAGAGCGCACAGTGTCGGCGTTATCTCACAGTGAAGACTGGCAATGAATTGACAATGTACCTAGACATACCATGCCAGACAGCTCGCCGCATTCCGCACGAAGTGTCTGGCCATCGGAGACACATACTTGGCGCATCAGAAGAAGCGTGTTTGGTTTTATTCGTGTGTTTTTAGTTTCTGTGCCGCCGTATCGGTGTGGATATTAGAAAGCATGCTGCTTTGAGCGTTTTGTGTTCACCGAGCATTGTTCGTACCCAGGCATAATGCGTCAACCATAATGCCTGGGTACGAACAAAAAAAAAAAAAACATTGCGGTTGTATAATAGCCAATTTTTTAATGCGAAGTATTTTTTAGCGAACTTCGGTGACTTAGAGCGTATCTAGCTATCTATCTATCTATCTATCTATCTATCTATCTATCTATCTATCTATCTATCTATCTATCTATCTATCTATCTATCTATCTATCTATCTATCTATCTATCTATCTATCTATCTATCTATCTATCTATCTATCTATCTATCTATCTATCTATCTATCTATCTATCTATCTATCTATCTATCTATCTATCTATCTATCTATCTATCTATCTATCTATCTATCTATCTATCTATCTATCTATCTATCTATCTATCTATCTATCTATCTATCTATCTATCTATCTATCTAGCCACCTACGACTATTTTAGCTCTCCTGGCCGTTTAGATAATGGTATCGATATCGAAATTGGTATAGCATAACATGACTGTATGACGATCATAAATGACAAGTCATAACATGAAAATCAAAACATGTATCTTATGAATGTAATGATTCACATATCATTATCTTGCTGCTTTTGCGGTGGTTTCGGTCACATGACACATTGCAAAATTGCTATGGTACGACATGACGGTATGGCTAACATAAGTGACGGACCCTATTGTGTAAATCATGACATTTATAATGTAATTCATAACTAAACGCCACGCTCGTAGTGTGCTCGTGGTCATTTCACTAGCTTCACATATGCCAAAGTTGGTATTACCGGACGTGAATGGATGATGAAAGTACATGACTAGTGCAAACATGATAACCATGAGACACGTACCGTGTAAGAACATGACTGCATGACCCGCTCATAATTTGCACGTGATCGTTTCGCTAGCTTCGCATACACAAACTTTGGTACTACGTGGTACGTGAATCAATTACGAAGGTATATGACTGATGCAAGCATGACAATCATGATGTGCGTGTCATGTGAGAACATCACTACATGCTACGAGCATCGCACGCTCGCTGTCGTTTCGCTAGTTCCACATATACCAAATTTGTTATTGCGTGACGTGAATGGACGACGAAGGCAAATGACACGTCAAAACATAATATTCATGACATGCGTGTCATGTTAAATATCACTGCTATGCCCACAGCATCCTTGTGGCCGTTTCGCTAGCTCTACATAACCAAATATGGTATCATGTGACGTGAATTCACGACGAAAGTAAAGGACACTTTCAAAAACGATAATCATGACATACGTGTCATGGAAAACATGACCACACGCTACGCTCATAGCGTGCTCGTGGCCGTTCCTACAAACTGCACAATTCAAAATTTGGTATCACGTTACGCGAATAGACGACAATGGTAAATGACATGTTCAAACATGATAATCGTGCATGGAAATCATGTTCGGGATAATCTGCATCCGACTCGCAACGATTGTCCAGATTTTAAAGTGACATATCGACCTTTCTCATTCGTGCTTCGCATATCGATTCCCACTGTACGTGGACTTTACCATTTTTTGTGTGTGCGCTACATTAGTTGAAGCTCGCTTGCTGCTTGCGTTACGTCAAAGTAAAATAACCTTACGTCAAAGTAAAATAACCTCAAAGTAACCTTGAGAACGCTAAAATGAGTATGAAAAGAGAGGTAAAGATATCTATTTTTTTGTTTTGCATTTAGTTCTTGTCGAAATGTGGCTGCCACCTCCTGTTTGACGCCGTCGAAGTGGCTGTGGCTCAAACTTACGCACGCAGCCAGGCTTGGTTTCACACCGCAGCATGATATCGGTGTCGCACGAGCATTTTCGCTCGTAATCAAGGCCGGTAGAGATCAATTTGGTACTCAAGACCAGTACACATTGAGGCTGAAAATTCTTTGCTTATTTACATTTTTGCGCGCACACAGTTCACTTTGTGCGCGGCAAAATGTTACCTTGAATGTTCTCAAATTTACTCGGCCAGCTTTCCATACGATTACTAGATACTCCTGTTAGCATCGCATTTATGTACACGTTAAATAACTCCTGGTAGTTGGAAGTTTCCGGAGCCCTCCGCTATAGAACATCCGTAATAACCATGCCGTGAAGTTTAGGTGTTACACCCCGAGTATTATTATTACTGTAATGGCAGCCGGAGCGTGTCATTGTGTCAATCGACTGCTGTGTCATTACATATCTGTCTTTTTTTGTCAGGTATATATATATATATATATATATATATATATATATATATATATATATATATATATATATATATATATATATATAAGGGAAAGAAGTGTATACCTAAGGGCTCGTTTTCCGTGTTTTTAACACAATAATAATGAGATATAACAGACAGTAATGCCAAGGAATGTACAGGGGAAGTTATTAACATTAATGGAATGTAAATAAGAAGAAAGAAAAGTGGATGAAAAAATTACCAACTGTAAGCAGGAATCGAACCTACGACCTTGAATATATATATATATATATATATATATATTCAAGAAAAAAACACGAGGTTGAGCAAGGTTACCAGCTGAAGCGGTGTTCACTTGAGCGACAAATTCACACGTGTAATTGTGGAGCCTAGTGACGCCAACAGGCGAGGAGAAGTCCCCCCGAAATGTCTCTCACTCACATGGGCGAGGTGAACGGAGGGGGAGACCAGTGTTACAGACTACTCTGGTGGCTTATACTAGCGATTTGATGAGCTGCTAACATGCTGCAGACAACCATGCAGCTGCAGACTGAACAGCCACTGCCGCTCTTTGCAAAAGCAAGTGAAACAATGTGGCCAGACAAGAGCCCAAAATTCTGCCATATCCCACACCGGCGAGGGATCATTTGTCCTGTCGGGGAAAAGGTCGCCGCCTCCGCTGAGGAGTCATAGGGAGGTTACACACACGCACTAATCCGTGTTGACGTGATCACGTGATACACAATCCCCCTGTGCCCCCTGCCGATTTCTCCCTCAAGTGAATATCCCTTAACAGTCTGTCTGAATCATGCTTAGGGTGCATCACCACCCCCACAAATGTACATGTGGCAACATGCTTTGGAGTTGTTTAAAGGGGGCCTTAATAAGGCAGCTAGCACATAAGTATTAAAGCTGTCACATTCGGAGAAACATTGTTGTCTTCCTTCTCCTTTTTCCCCAATTTTTAATCCACTTCAATGCATTGTAATATTTCCTACGTCAGAACAAGACCCAAGGCATCCCTCCAGCTATCTTTGCATAGACAGCTTCAGCAGGCTAACATGCACCGCCTCGGCCTTTGACAAGCACTAAAAGCTAGGTAGTATACTGTTCACCACGCTGACACAATCTCTGAGCAGTTTCTGGGTTAGGCTGTGATAGCACAGCGTAACCACAACAACACAAGCTTACTAGAAACGCACATAATAATGTGTCTGTGTCAACTGTTATAGCATGCTGCAGAACTGCCTTTTGATTACGAGAACTGAATTCTGGGAAAGTTTTTGAGATTGCATGATTGAGCTGGTAGCGCAAGAGATGAAGACGCAAGATGAAGGTTAACTTGTCTTTTCAGGTAATGAGGTGGTCAAGGCCTTGCAATCAGTCACATCTAGCTTGTTTTGATTTATAATGCATATATGACGCACATATACGCACTATATATGACTCTGGCTGCAAGCGATGTTGTGGTGGAGGGCTCTCG